GGGGAGTGACTCTTTCACATTTATACATGTTAACAATTGAGCATTGAATTTTTAAGTAGCAATATGATTTCTAATGAGGACCTCAATCATATTGTATCAGCCTGAGTAGAGAAGAGGAATAGAAAATATGGGGTGAAGCCAAACCCATAGAAACAGAAAGTAGAATGGTGGTTATCAGGGGCTGGGGGAGGGGGCGATGAGGGAAATGGAGAGATAGATGTTCAGCAAAGGGCACAAACTTTCAGTTAGAAGTTGAATAAGTTTTGGGAATCTAATGCATAGCATTGTGATTATAATTAACAATGCTGTATTATATACTTAAAAGTTGCTGAGAGTAAGATATTAAATGTTTTCGCCACAAAAAAAGAAATAGTAATTATATGATGTGAACGGAGGCTTTAGCTAATGCTGTGATAATCATTTTGCAGTATATAAGTATAGCAAATTAACATGTACATCTTAAGCTTATGCAGTGTTATATATCAGTTACCTTTCAGTAGAGCTGGGATAGAGGGACTAAAGGCACACAAAACCCACTAAAGTAAATGTGTAGAAACAAAATGTAGTGGTGGTGATAATTCAGTGGTTACTCCTTGCCAACTGATTGAAGACCAAATTTCTGAGCCAGTGACTTTTAATGTCCCCTGTGGTTTGATCCTACCTGTTCAATTTTTCCCACCTATCTTCCAGAATTCACTGTGCTATCTCTTTATTGCCTTGGTTAGTGCTTTCCTCTGCAACATTCCATCTCACCTTTTATATCTGTGTGGAAAAATTCTACCTATCCTCCAAGTTCCCACTCAGATGCGAACGTGTTTTCTCTGATCCTCCCAGCTGGAAGTGTGTCATCTGTGAGCTGTATTTTAGCTGACATTAAGCACGGAGTTTGTACCCTAGGCCTTATAGGTGTAGATCAGTGAGGTCTGTCCTTCTATCTTGGAACTGGGAAGATGCAGAGTTAAGCATTCTGGCTACTGTTTAGATGTGTTTGAATTGTTTGATAAGCTTTCCCATTTATTAAAATTTCTGTAATTATCAATGCAGATGAGGGAAGCAAAAGTTGTGTTGATTTTATTTTTGAACCACATTCTATGTTCATTTGACTAGAGCAGAGGAATGGTAGATTTTCTGTCTTCATGACATTTTTTAAAGCTAACACTTGAGTTATATGGACCCTCTCTTCCCCTCACATTTTTAGGACCAGGCAATTGCTAGTTGGGAAGGAAGTCAATTTATGAATTTAAATCAGCTATAGGTGGTTCACTTTGAATAATCAACATAGAAGAGTTGACTTAATGGCGTCTTAACATTAGAGTACTCATGTCATTGAAAGAACACGAATTAGGTAGGATTCACGGAATATTTGAAAAAATGTGTTTTTGAAGTTTCAAGTGAGAGCTATTATCTGGATTCCACTCCGTTGATCACTTCTCATATTTCTTTTCCAGGTCCGGACCCTATTTGTCAGTGGTCTGCCCCTGGACATCAAACCTCGGGAGCTCTATCTGCTTTTCAGACCATTTAAGGTACCTTTTCTATCTTTCAGAAATTGTAAAAGGAAACAGAAAGCTTCATGGTGTCTTTTTGGAGGAAGAAATGAAATGCTTGAGAAAGTACCCTATAAAGTGATATTTTTAAAAGGTTAATAAGCAATGGGAATTTAACAACTCAACCCTACCTTACAGTGTTACTTACAAAAGATGGAAATGGCCTCTTGTCCTTCTAATAGCTAATCGAGGCAAGTATCTTCTATTAACTGATGTGGACATGTATCTGTCTCTTCCACGTGTAACAGCCTTAGTGTCCTCTGGCAATTGGGGATGTTTTTCTAGGTACAGATCACCAAAAATATTACCAATTGCTCATTATGTATTTATATTTCAAATGCAATAATATAAATCAAGCCCTATCCCTAGGAGATTATTAGTTGAAATAGTTCTATTAGTACTAGTCTTTGGAGGCAGAACTAGGCTTTTATGAATTAGACTAGGAACCTAATACCATATTTGTTTCATGAGAAAAATATCCTAAGTTTCAAATAAAGTGAAAACAATATTGTAAAGTGTTGCTTGGCATAAGGGGAAGCTTTCCTGGTGCTTCATGAAATATTTAATGCAGTGTGGCTATTGAGATATTACTACTTTGGAGATACTGAATGAATCTGGAATTGAAAACTTAACAGGAAGTCAGACTAAAGCTGAAATAACCATGTTGCCTAGGCAAAACCTTGAAGGTTAGCCTGTGGAGGATTGGAGAAGGCTGGACTGGGGCAAATTGTGGGCTGGAGGCCTTGGCCCTCAAGGAGTGAACCTGGAAGTCATGCTAAACTCAGGGCTTGTGTCTGAGCTGGTTGTTGCTGACATGTCAGCCAGTGATGCCAGCTGGGGCCATACTTATGATTAGGCAATGGACCGTCTTGATTTTTGGTTAAAGATCCATCCCACTTGAAGCAGGAGTCCAGCCAAGACAGGTTGAGGAAAAGTATCTAGTTTTTTTAGGGAGCGGGAACAGGATGTAACAGCTGAAAACAGCTGTGTAGGAAAAGAAGAGAGAGGATCGAGAGGGCAGCCAGTTGAAACCAACAAAGATAAAATAGAGTCTAGCTAGCTTATATGCCAAGAAGGCATCATATAATGACATAATTCCATTCTGACAGATATCCCTTAATGCAACGATTTTCCGCCTTTTTCATCTCATGGCACACGTGAACTAATTACTAAAATTCTGCGGCACACCAAAAAATATATTTTTTTGCCGATCTGACAAAAAAAAATAGGTATAATTTTTATTTATTAACACCAGGAAGCTATTGTTGTTTTGGCTGTTGTCTTTTTTTTTTTACAATCTAAGGGAAAAGAGGTTAGTGCTCCTGACTAAATAGTCAGGTATTACATGTTTTAAAAATTCTTACAACACCGGTTAAAAATCACTGTCTTAATGCAGTAATAACTGTTGACAGGTCAGAAGAATCAGAAAGCTTAGACATGAGGTTAACTGAAAGGAAGTGGGAAAGAAAGAGAAGATGTTGTGGGAAGAGAGTGCCAACTTGATAGAATTTCCTGACTTTCTTCTGCAGGCTTGCAATTTTTACTATCCCTTTTGTAGGATGAGGACATTTTAAGCTAGTTGGTCTTCTTAATGGACAAAATACTATTGTGTTTATATACGTGGAGAGAGATATTCATTTAGCAAGCCCCTTATATGAATTATCTCATTTAATTCTCATCATAATCCTTTAAAGTGGGTTGGCCTCATTTATTCAAATGAGGAAAATGAAACTTTGAGCAGTTGAATAAATTTTGCTCAAGTTTACACACATAGTAAATGACAGGGCCAGGATTCGAACCCAAGCAGTCTGACTGCCGTCCTTGCTCTGAACTACTGTGTGGTACTAATTCTCTTCTTGTGACTTGAGAGCACAGTATAGTCCTGCCAGTGGTTTGTATTTGAGTGAAATATTCATTTGTCCTTTGCCGCTGAGGCCTTCAGGGTGTTTAAACCTCTGGGTTTTTCAGAGAAAGCACCTTGAAAAGGGAAGAGGCAGGGCTGTGAATCATGACCTCTTTATCCAGAAGAGCTCAAGGCCTTTGAGGTAAAATGTTTACAGTAGCTAATTGGTCACATAGTTCTATGCTGGGAAGATATGAGGATGAATCAATCCCAACATTCTACCCAGAAATGCTTCCCTAAAGTCAGGACCCTGCTACATTCCTAACAACCCTCTTTTAATTAAAGTCCCTGAAGGTTGACACTGGTCTGCAAATCTGTCTCTACACTGATATGTGCGGTGGTCAATCATGTCAAGTGGTGTTTTTCCCTGTCTGTGTCATCCATCAGTGCAAGCCACCCGCTATTGATTATTTTCAGAAATAAACACACTTTGTTGTCCTTATCCTGAGAAGCCAGGGAGGGGTGAAAGGAGGTTTTGAAAGGGAGTGTTTCTATCTTCTTTGAAGATGAGCTCAAGTAAAAACCCAGTAGGGCATTTTTGTATGTCCCAATCAGAATACCAACATGAAAATTGGCTGATTCAATAAATAAGCAAAAGAACTGAAAAAGAAATTTAAAAAACCTCAACAAAATTTAGCATCACTACCTGCTTCACCTTTCCTGGCAGTTTTGAAATTTTGACGAATAGGTTCTACCCAGTGCATTCTTTTTTTTAAAAAAAAAAATGTTTTTATTTTTCAATTAGAGTTGATATACAATATTATATTAGTTTCAGGTGTACAGCCATGTTGATTAGATATTTATATAACTTACAAAGTGATCACCAAAATATAGTACATTCTTAATGTTTCATTATTGTTATTTTATAGCAAATACATGACCAAGTTATCACATACTCTTACCGTCCTATCTTATTAAATTTACCTCCTTCAATCTCCTAGTTCTATAAAACAAAGAGATCTGCTGTACACAGACACCAATTTTCCTGCCATTGCATAATTTCATGAAAAAAAGGGAAAGAAACATAAAAATGCATGAATTTCAGGGTTTGGTTTTTTTTAGGCCCCAAGTCTGCAAACAGACATATGTACACGTGGGTGTGTGCATGTGTGCTTGTGTACAATTTGCTTTCCTGGTTAATTTAAAAGGCATTTGTGAAAGAGGTAGTCAATGTCATAAATGATAAAGAAACTTGAGAAGATGCTATTATAATTCTCTCCCCCCCCCCCTTTTTTTTTTTTTTTTTTTTTTTTTTTTTTTTTTTTTTTTTTTTTTTTTTTTTTTTTTGTCTAAATGTGGTTCTTTTTTATTTTCAGGGCTATGAGGGTTCTCTTATAAAGCTCACATCTAAGCAGGTAAGCATTTTAAACTTGCATATTAATGATCACTTCTACAATAAATTTGAATTGACTTTCTTCAGGAATGTTGCTAGGGCTCAACATTCTTTATTCCCATTAGGATTTTATTTTGTTGTAGCTTTAAAAGATAGGGTGAGATTGGTTAGGAATTAGCACAGGAAAATGGCTTGTAATTCCATAGTCTCCAGCTAGGATGTCTGGGACTAACCCCAAGGAAGACAAATGTAACGCATCCAGCATAGGTATATTGGGGTTTATTTGTATATTCAAAAGTAATTATTATCCAAATTCACTTTTATTCCCAATTCTTTCCTGTTTGTGTGTGTGTTTTTTAATAAGGTTAAACAGGCAGCCTTTCACAATCGGTATGAGTATCTGGTGATGAAGAATCATGTTCTCTCTCAAACCCCGAATGGAGGTGGTAATCAGTAACCCTGGTAGTTCCTGCAAACTTCTTAAATTTTTCAGCTGTATGCTTTTCCCCCTCTAATGCTGAACACTCAGCATGCTCACCTCCCAATCACTTTTTGACACTCAGTGGGGTTTTCTCTGGTTCATCAGGAATAAGCTATGTTGCAAGTATCCTTCTGGACTAAAAGATACTGAGTCCAAAGGGATTATGACCCCTTTCTCTTTAGTTGCAACATTATGGGATTTGTGATGAAAATGTTCATCTGTAATTTTGATCATGCAATGAGAGTACGGGCTTTTATCATTGTGTCATTGTAGTCCTTGCACTGATTGTGTACCAGAAGGTGATTCGGTTCTCTTTCTACTTAAAAAGATGAAGAAACTGAGGGACATTGAATTAATTTAGAAAAGTAGAGTCTCTTGACCCAAGTTTTCCTCTATTCCCTTGTTCACTGCTGCTCACCTTCCAACCCCTTCTAGATTATTTTATGATTCTCTAACACCCCAGCTATATGCCCTTGAAGAACCACACTCACAATCCCTTTGATTCATGTTAGAAATTTAGCTAAACCACTGAGTCATGATTCTTCTGGACTGGCTTTCTTATTTCTACACAAATGCCTGTGGTCATTTCTTTATCTTAGCTCTTCACTTTGACATCACCTCTGACCCAGAAAAATAGATATCCCCTGATTTTTGCCCCCCTCATATTTCTTTTTCTTTCCTCAGCCTGTAGGTTTTGTGAGTTTTGACAGTCGCTCAGAAGCAGAAGCTGCGAAGAATGCTTTGAATGTGAGTACTTGTGTAATCATTGGGGGGTTTCCTTATGAGGTGGTGGGAAATAGCGGAACCTCAAATGGAAGGAATATGACTTCATAATCCAACAGGAAAGGATTCCTCAATTTGATGAGCCCTCTAAAGAGATTTTTTTCCTAGAATTGTGGTCAGATGTGCAAACTATTCAGTAATTTGCTCTTCTCTAGCTTTTGCTATAAGGCTCAAAATACCTGATAATGTCTTATTTTAGTTCAGCCCAGTCATATCCCATGGTGGTGTACAGCTTAGTTTGGCCATCACTGTGCTCTCAAAGGTAAGCCTAAGCCAAGAAAACATAAAAAAAACTTGGCTTTTCTTATTTCATGAGGTTTTATTTTAGGTATGTGGCTTTTTGTTTTTAAACAGGTCATTGTCATTATCCTGACTGATTAAAAACTTGCATATATGGCTTTCCTGAAAGACATGCTGCATTGGGATATAAGTGAGAATAAATTGTGATTGAATAGACATAGCTGTATTTGGTTTGTTAGGTATCTTGTCTGCCATATGTTATGAAGTGTTTACCAGTTTTACCTTGGTAAATACTTTCCCCCTTTGGTATGTTGAAAAACAAAACAACTTAAGGGAACCAAGTTGAGAGAATGTGGAAAGAAGCCAATTTAATTTAGTCCAGATGCTGAGAGCAGACCCTCAGGTGAGGAGTCTCAGTGAAAAGCTTGGCTCCATCCTGCTCCAGGCAGTTGGCCTAAGCAGCTGTGGATGAGGGTTGATTAATGTGGCCAAAAGTATCTAGGGTGCTTCTTGAAAGGAAAGTAGTAACTTAACTAGTTGTACTCTGGGTGTCATGGTGAAAGCTTCTGAAAGCCTAGATCCGTGGTCGGCAAACTTCGGCTCCCGAGCCACATGCAGCTCTTTTGCCCCTTGAGTGTGGCTCTTCCTAAGCCTTAGGAGTACCCTAATTAAGTTAATAACAATGTACCTACCTATATAGTTTAAGTTTAAAAAATGTGGCTCTCAAAAGAAATTTCAATCGTTGTACTGTTGATATTTGGCTCTGTTGACTAATGAGTTTGCCGACCACTAGACTAGACCAATACCCCTGCCAGTTGCTCTTCTGAGCTCCTTGATGCTAAGACAAACCATATTGAGGAGGGGCTGTAGAAAAGACCCGAGGTCCCATTGATTTGCTGGCCCAAGAGAAAGGGGTCAACATAACGGTGTCATTGTGACACAATCTTCAGAGGTTTTGTGCTTTGGGAAGAAATTAATACATTCCCAGAAGAAGTAATTTGCTTGTTATTGTTGGATTTTCATGAAAACATACAGGAATGTCTTCGGAATCCAAGAGTTCCAAAGAGCTTAGAATTTTTCTGGATTTGGATAAATGACCTTCTGGTTAAAACAACTGCTCACTTACCCTGTCCTCTCCTGCAGAACAAAATGTAAACCAATTATTTATTGATTACCAGTGGTACACACTAAAGCAAAGTGTATAGCTGAATATTTTTACTTAAAAATTATTTCATGATTTTTGTATTACATAGATGCAACCAGAATTTTCTCATAAAAAGAAATTTTAAACTCAAAAATTAAACCACAGTTTCTATTTAAGCAGTGTTTTCTTTCATTCTAACCAGGTGACATCTTTCTAAATTCAGAAATATTTTAGGTCCTTCAAAGTTATGTTAGATGACATTTTTACCAGGTTCTTTTCATTGTTCTTATCTTATATAATAAAAGCCTAATATGCAAATCAACCGAACAGCGCTATGATGTGCACTGACCACCAGGAGGCAGATACTCAATGCAGGAGCTTCTCCCAGCCTGCAGGCCCCAGGCCAGCCAAGATGGGTGCCAGCGGGGAGGCTCCCTCTCGATCGCCCCGCTGGTCGCCCTGCCAAGGGAGGAGACAGGAGGTGGTGGTGGGGGGTGGGGCAGGCCGGACAAGCAGGCCAGCGCCGCCCCCTCCCATCACCCCACCTGTGGGAGGCGACCAGTGGCAGCAGGGCGATTGGGGGGCGGGGACGGCCAGCGAGCGGGCCAGTGCCACCCCCCCCCCCGATCACCCTGCAGGTTGTCTCCAAGATGGGTGCCAGCGGGGGCTCCCCAATTGCCCCACAGATTGTCCCTGATCGCTGGCCAGGCCTAGGAACCCTACCTGTGCACAAATTTTGTGCACTAGGCCTCTAGTAAAGGAATTAACAGCCGTTGAAACTTGCTCACAGAGTGGAGCCTACATTGCCTTCCTTTATCTTTGCTAGGTATATGAAGGTGTCACTGACCCTCTGTCTGAAGAGCAGCAGGCTTTTATAGTTATTACCTCTCTCGTCTGACTAAGGCAACATTCTCTTATGAGCTAGGTTATTAAATGGTCATAGTCATAAGCTGTGATTTCTTGCCTTCTAAGCAAAGTATAGCAATATAAATGCAATTTTTCTTGGTGCCTGAGGGTTATATAATTTAAAATATCAGGTATTGAGCTATACTGTAACATAATGATAGAGATATTTAAGCCCACCCCTATGCCAGATGGCCCCAGCTCATTGGCTTTCTTGTCCTGAGGTCTGGTTTTAGGTTCTTTGTGTGCTCAGCTCTTCTTCTTTTTCACTGGCAGAAAGCTTTCCTTTAGCACCATCCTCTCGCTAATCATTAGTTTTGTTTGTTGCTCATATATTAATAACTTGGAAAGAACTCCAAGCAAAGCAGGTCTAATTCTGTCCTGTTCTGTGGACTTAAGGGTAACTGTTAATATTTACCTGAGGAATATTGAACCTTAGCATTCTTCTGCTCAGAGGCTGTCTTGTGAGTATAGGGCATATATTAAGCTCCTAGTTGACCTCTTTCTCAATGTTTTAAACTTTTAAGCATAGAGTATTAGAGGTCTTTGTACGTTAGAAATCACCTTATTGTTATAGTTGGGGGAACTGAGACGTAGAGAGAATGGCTGCTACCAATAGAAGTAGGCCTCTTGCTTCTTAGTCCTGGTGGCATTGACAGACTGTTTAATTCATGCTATCCAGGACAAATGGCCATGGTCATGTTTGGTGTGTGACTATGGAGCAAGGCGGCTTCTTCTCTTTGGAGAGGGAATGGGCCCATCTATAAATATAAAAGCCTAAGCGACTGTTCGACCAGTAGCTGTGATGTGCACTAACCACCAGGGGGCAGATGCTCAATGCACAGGCATGGAAACATGGAACCGACTGATGAATCTCAGGGGGGAAGGGGGAGGGGGGAGGGTAGGAAGAGATTAACCAAAGATCACATATACATACTAGAGGCCTGGTGCACGGATTTGTGCACTGGTGGGGTACCCCCAGCCTGGCCTGCGGAGATCGGGCCGAAATTGGCCCAGTGCACGTGCACCTGTGGGGTCCCTCAGCCTGGCCTGCAGGGATTGGGCTGAAACTGGCAGTCTGACATCCCCCAAGGGGTCCCGGATTGTGGGAGGGCACCGGCCAGGCCAAGGGACCCCACTAGTTTAGGATAATATACTGTATCATGAAGCTGACACATCTCTATGGCCCAATATATTATGCTTGTTTTCAGGGTCATCTTTTCTAATTAGTGAATTAAAAACATATGATGCTAATAGCTATTATATTTTCTCCTCCTGTCTTTTGTGCAGGCAGTTCTCTTAATTGCTTTTCCTCAAATTTCTTTGGGGAAAATTCCATTTTGTAATGTTTTGTTTGATTCTCCTATTAAGAAACTTAAACCTCAATTCAGTAAATCCCTCTATATGGAATAGTTCATAGTGTTATGAACCACTTCTCCATGTTGGAGAGATTCTTTTCTTGTTATGATTTCTGTCTTGGTTACTCTCTGATCCAATTATTAGTATTAGTAATTAGTCTTTTCCCATAATGACTGATTTTTGAATCCATTTATTTTCTTTCATTTTTGTATTATGCTCCAGTCAATTTGATAATTTTATGGAAAAGCTCTGATTGAATTGAGAGGCAACACTGAACTTGTATCAGGTGATAACTCCTATCTTCTAAATTAAGTACAGTATATTTTGTTTTTATAGCAAAAATTCCCAAATTAGTCCTAGCTGGTTTGGCTCAGTGGATAGAGCGTCAGCCTGCGGACTAAAGGGTCCCAGGTTCGATTCCGGTCAAGGGCATGTACCTTGGTTGCGGGCACATCCCCAGTGGGAGGTGTGCAGGAGGCGGCTGATCGATGTTTCTCTCTCATCGATGTTTCTAACTCTCTATCCCTCTCCCTTTCTCTCTGTAAAAAATCAATAAAATATATTTTTAAAAAATTCCCAAATTAAGCTAAAAATAACCCAAACCCAGGCTTCCCTTCAGGTTATCTGTGTTATTAATCCTCATGAATAGAAATCCTGTTCATTTTTTTAAACTGGCAGCAAAGTATCTGACCTATTCTTCATCCTCCACACACATTAGTAATTTCTGTACCAGCAGTTTTCCATTTTCCATACTAATGGAAGGGGGAGATGAAAACCTAAAGTATTTAACTATTTTTAGGATTTGTTTATAATTTGGGAAGGTAGATTAAATATACAGAGTTAACCTGGTGAGTAAAAATTTGATTTGTGAAAATTTTAAGAAGAAACACAGGAAGCAGGGTAGGTCTAAGGATAAAGACCCTGAGCGGAGGTGAGATTAAGCCACCTCTGGCTATTCTACCAATTGTGAAAACCCCATTATTGCTGTTGTTGCCTAGCTGAAATCATGTCTTAATATAAATAAAAATGATTAGTAGTTACCACTTCTGATCAGCAGGCTCATCGTGTTCCTTGTTTGTGTACAGTTTCTTAATGAGCATTATCTTACACCGGTGCTAGGGAATTGCTCATCTGAAGTACTTGAAAAGATTGTGTGTAGATTCTTGTGTATATGTGCCAATTGTTTTATATCTCTCCTCCCCTATTTTTAAATAGTTGTTATGGGGCGGCGGGTGAATTTTATATTAGGACCAGAGAAGTCTGATGTTATCAAACTATTCACTGCAAATTGTCTTAACTAAACATTGCTTAGGATAGCAGTACTTTGCTTTACTCTCAAACTAGTCTCATTGATCTAAGTCAACAATTTTTCAAGCTTTTTCAACTCATGCACACCTAAACTAATTACTAAAATTCTGCAGCACACCAAAAAAATATATCTTTTTGCTGATCTGACAAAAAAATAGGTATAATTTTGATTTGTTCACACCAGATGTGTTGGCTGTTGTCATTTTTATATTTGACAATCTAAGGGAAAAGAGGTCAGTGCCCCTTACTTAGTAGTCAGGCATTACATGTTTTAAAAATTCTTACAGGACAGCAATGGAAAATCGTTG